CCACAAAATTGCCCTAACTGGTTTGGCTCAATGAATAGAGCATCAGCCTGTGGACTGAAGGGTCCCAGGTTCAATTCCAGTCAAGGGCATGTACCTTGGTTGCGGCCACATCCCCAGTAGAGGGTATGCAGGAGGCGGCTGTTCGATGTTTCTCTCTCATCGATGTTTCTAACTCTCTATCCCTCTCCCTTTCTCTCTGTAAAAAAATCAATAAAATATATTTTAAAAATAAATAAAAATAAAAACAAAATGTCCACAAAATTGGCCTAGACTGGAACAGCTGAAAGCCAACATTAAATAACAAAAAGCATATAGGTCCTCTGAAATCAGCAAGCTCCACGCCCCTCAGGACAGAAAGCCATGCTTAGCTGGTCAAAGCAGGTTTACATCATAGGAACAAGTGAGAACTTCCATTCTCCTGGGCCTGAAACTACCTCTGCAAGTGGAACCAATGTCTCTATACACAGACATGCTTCCAGGGGCAGCAGTTTCTGCCCTGGTGAGATCCAGTAGCTCCGATGGCCTATCTGAATCTTTAAGGAACAAGCATTCCAGAATTCCCCCCGTTTACTGAGGCAAACAGCCCTCAATTCCCACGCATTTTGGAAACATTCCTCTCCGGAAGGGGGTTCTCCTTCTCCAGGTAGGCCCTTCTCCAGACTAGAGTTCAGGGAATCGGCACCAAGCAGATACCAGCAACAAATAAGGAAGAAGGCCCACAGCAGTCACAGGAAGTTCTCCTTCAGCCAGCGATGGGAGCCCTGGGGCCAGGGAGCAGAGCTACCCCTGGCCCTCTTGCATCCCTTTTCCTGGCCACTAAGACACTTCCCTAGTCACAGCCAGACCTGAACAAAGGATTCTTTCGAGGAAGACACATTCCAGCTGATAGGGTGAGAAGAGGGAAGGTGCCCACACAGAACTGATGGTCAAGGTGCTGACCAGAATATCGCAAAGGCCTGCAAGTTATTCCAGGGATAACCCACATTCTGCTGTCTCCCTCAGGGAGGGAGTCAAGGATTCCTGCCACGTATGGTCAAAGCAAGAGAACCACAGAATCTCAATGCTGGGGAAGAGGAAGCCAACTCAAATTCAATTCAAAACACAAGCGTCCTCATATGGCCCACTAGAAAATATTAACTTAAGGAGGGAAAAAAGCCCATAAAGAGGTTCAGCTCAACCCTAGCCATAGAAATCCTGCCCAAGTTTTTGGATCCACTCCTCTCTCTCCAAAAGAACTACTCCCTTTCATCCTGGGAGGGTGCCTCTGTGCCTCACTCAGGGAAGAGGTCCTGATAGGTACCATTCCAGGAACATTGGGCATTTTAATAAAAGTGACCTTAAGAGGGTCTCAGTGAAAGGAGAAGGAGCCACAAACCCAGACTCGAGGCAGGGAATAACAGGAAGGCCACAGAGCACAAAACACTGATCAAACTCCCAGGCACTGGTAGACTACCAGAGTTCTGAGGGAAGAAGAGCAGGTTGTAGAAAACAGTAGATAGATTCAACAGCCACAGCCTAAGGGACCCCAGACCTTCCTGGGCCCACCATTTGGAGGTATACCTTGCTCTGTGTACTGAAAGATTGGACTCACTAACAACCTTTCCTCTTTAGTGCTCTAATCATTCAGAAGCCCCCTCTTCTGTGCAGGGCCAAGAGCCCCTGTAGGTCCTTTCAATTTAGTCCTCAGCACAAAACAGCAACATTATACCCTTTCACCAGGACTGGACAGGATTCATTTTTCTACCTCCAGCCTCAGCCCAGAGCCTGACACACAGAAAGGGCCCAAAGAATGATTGCTGCGCCAGAGCCAGTTTTGCTCAGTGGATAGAGCATCGGCCTGCGGGCTCAGGGGTCCCGGGTTCGGTTCCGGTCAGGGGCATGTGCCTTGGTTGCAGGCACATTCCCGGTGGGGGGCGTGCAGGGGACAGCTAATCGATGTTTCTCTCTCATTGATGTTTCTGGTTCTCTGTCCCTCTCCCTTCCTCTCTGTAAAAATCAATAGAATATATTTTTTAAAAAAAGAATGGTTGCTGAATAAAACTGATCATTGGTGAGAAAGGAGAAAAAAAATAATTTCAAGGAAGATACTAATGCCTCAGTAAGGAAATCCTAGAATTTTTTATATAAGGTGCCTTCCAGTTCTAAGATTTGAGAATTCTCTATCTCTTAAATCATTTGCACCATCCCAACCCACCAACTATAAAGACTACAGGATAAAGTGAGACATGGCTCAGAGTGGAGAGGAAGGCTCCACGCCACCTAGGAATCTAGTTTTGAGCTGATTCAGAACCCAGTCATCCTCACACCATGCTCCCATGCTTATGAAGACATATCCCAAATGCACTGTGCCCAGCCTCTTTCCAAATCAGACAAAAGATGCAGCTCAGTGGGAGTCGCCCAGTGGTTGAGCATGGGTTTGATTCAGTCAGGGCACATCCCCGGGTTGCGGCTTGATCCCCAGTAGGTGGTGTGCAGGAGGCAACCAATTGATGATTCTCATCATTGTTGTTTCTATCTCCCTCTCCCTTCCACTCTCTGAAATAAAAAGAAAAAATGAATAGAAGATGCAGAATGATTCTGGAGAACCTCAGGGTTCTTCTCTTATCTCTGAGACCCAGATGGCTTGCCAAGTTCCAGAAAAGTCAAGGGCTTCTGGGAGATCAAGATGCCTAGCAATAGTGTGCTGATTCCAGACACAGAAGTTATAGGGAAACGTCTAAAACAGCGGTTCTCAACCTGTGGGTCGCAACCCCTTTGGGGGTCGAACAACCCTTTCACAGGGGTTGCCTAAGACCATCCTGCATATCAGATATTTACATTACGATTCATAACAGAAGCAAAATTACAGTTATGAAGTAGCAACGAAAATAATTTTATGGTTGGGGGCCATAACGTGAGGAACTGTATTTAAAGGGCCAGAAGGTTGAGAACCACTGTTCTAGAAGGACTAGAATGAGAGGGAGGGACCTGAATTCCTATTTCCATGCAACTCTGGAGAAGAACAGTATCTTTTTAACCTTGTAGAAAACTCTTGTGATCAAGCCACCCAGGCCTTCAAAATGTGCAAAACTAACCCATAGCCTCAAGCCCAGCTCACCTGAAACTTGTGTCCTAGAAAGAACTAATCCAGACAATGTAGAGCAAGCATGTCAAACTTGTGGCTGGCGGGCTTTGACATGCTTGATGTAGAGAGAGTCGTGAAATAACTGTTTTTAGCACTAAGGGATTCCACCACATTGATCCTATGTGTGTCCTGTGGGTAGTCCCTCCGTTGCCCACATCCACTGGCAAAGCAGGCCTCTCCTGAGCCTGCTGAATAAACCTGACTTCCCTGTGCTCATGTGCTAGGAGGTCGACTGGGAAGATTGAGTTCAGAGAGAAGTCTAACCCTTGCCTGTCCTCCCTAACCAGGGAGAATGACTAGATAGAGCTATTCAACTGCAGGAAACTTCCAAGGCTAAAGCCCTATGATCAGAAAAAAATCACTTGGAAGGGGGGAAAGTCCAGAGCTGGAGACTTTCTGTCTGCTCCATGGGCCTAACTCAACTCTTCTAAGAGAACCGTGACCCAGAAGCCACACTTCCGGTCAGAGGAATGAAGGCTAGACAAGTGTGTCTTCCCAAAATCCCACAGTCTTCTCTGGACAGGTCCCTTATATAACCAATCAGTCAGAAGTACCTTTACAAAGCCTATCAGAGGGCTACTCAATGGCTAGACGTTCCGCTTCTCCCAGAACTCAAGGGGTCACCGGAGCCATCAAGGGCAATTTCCTAAAGCCCAACCAATTTACTGCCTGCTCACAAATCAATCCAGCAGTTGGGGAGTGAGAATGCAAGTGAGGGAAATCTGACTTCCTGCAGCTTTCAGCTCTAAGTCCGCAACCCTAGCTTCAGAAGGCCTCACAGAGTCTGTATCTGAGCCCCGCAACCCAAATGTGATTCACCCCCAATGCTGCTTCCAGTCCAGTGTCTTGTTTGGCACTGGGTTCATGGACCTCAGGCCTGGATTCTACTTCCCCCTTCTTTGAATTCCACCTTATCACCGCCATTCTTATGGAATCATCCTCCTCTGTGGGAGGAGGGCACATAACTCTGGGAGGGGCAGGTATAACGATTGGGCTGTACAGAGGAGGTCTAATAACGTGCTGGAGTCTCAGACATCCAACCTCACCTCCTGGGCTTCCTTCCTCCACTAACGCGGCTGGCCAACCCACCACAGCTGGAACCCGGTCACTGAGAGAGAGAAGGGCGGGGGCTGAGCCATCCGGCCTGGACCTGCCGCATCCCATCAGGCCAGATCTTCCAAGGCTGGTCGGGGGTGAAGTCCCACGTGCAACCCGCTCCAAATCCAGGTTACTTGACTCTCCCCTCCATGCGGGAGAACTTACGGATGAGTTCCAGAGTTGGGAGGGGGGTTAGGCTTCGTGCACCCCCAGCGGACTTGTAGACAAGCATCCCACATCCCAGCCAGGCTACGATCGGGAACAGAGTACGAGTCCCAAGCCCGGGCTGCAGCAGACGGGCGCCCTTACCCCAAAGCTGACTCCGGAGTGGGCTGGAGAACGAACGCTTGCCCATCCCCGGATCCTTCGCAGGTGGGTAGCAGGACGTGGGGCTGGGGTCGACCCACTGACCAGCCTGCAGAACTTGCGAGACTCGGGCAGGCCGGGTTAGGCCAGACGGGGCGGGGCCCGGAGAGCCCCATCTGAATGGTCTGGACAAGAGAAAAAGACCCCATCCTAGCGCAGTCCGGTGCTCCCGCCATGTGCACGGCACCGCCTGGATAGAAGCCTGGCTGTCTCAGGGTTTCCCCCAGCCGCCGCCTC